ATCCATCCATCAATCCATCCATCCATCCATCCATCCATCCATCCATCCATCCATCCATCCATCCATCCACCAGTTTCTTTATTTTTATTAACTTTTAAACCAGACAAATCCGACAGAGATCACAGATCTCTCTTGCAGGGGAGGCTTTGACCTACAGGCCATTAAAAGAACTGTAACTGCTCAAAAAGTCGTGCTGCTCTGAATAGTTTATTGTAAATATGGTAAAACATGAGCAACCAAATACAGTATACACATAGAGTTTATATTCTGTATCTATAATACAAAATAACTTAATTTTACTGAAATTTACCGACAAAATTGGGTCCAAATAAGATTTAATTCGACTCTAGATTTGGAACACGGTCTTTCATTTGGGGACTCCCAATTTACGTTAATTTGTGACTTTTTTCCTTTTTTTTTTTTTTTTTTATGTATTCAAAGTTCAGGTTGTATTCAAATCACATTTTACTTGAATAGCAGTGATGTATGTAATGTTTAGCTCACTGTCTGTACCGCCCTGCCTCATGTTGTCACGGAGCACGAGCCTGAAGTTTTGATCCCAGCATCGTGCAGCAGATCTGCTCGCTCCACGGGGTCATCACTTTCCCAGATCCACACAGGACGTTTTTAATTCTCCCCTCAGTTATACACCTGTTCCCTCGGGACCTAACTACTGTTCCTTGAAGCAGAATAAAAGCATTTTTAGCTTGTGCTTCCTGCTGTCCTACAAAGCTCTCTGACTGGTTGAAAGTGTGAGAAACCCACAACAGATTGAAGCCCACACATTCAAGTGGAGATGCACGACTATAAACGATGAAGCCAGCAGAGATCCGATTGTCTCTACATAAATCCACCCATGCAACCTGCAGTCGCTGCAGCAAGGTCCAACTCTCAGGAGCATCTCATTCTGAAGCATGAGATCCATGCATTCATGACAAATTGTGTTGACACCATCTTCTCTTAAAACAAGTGAACTAATCACTCGGTTCCTGTTTGTGCAGCTCAGGAAGCCTCTGATGGAGAAGTTACGCAGAGAGAGGATCCACAGCAGCATCGAGCAGCTCAAGTCTCTCCTGCCTCCAGTTCCTCAGACAGAGCTCCACAGTCCAGACCAGAGCCTGGTCCAGACCAGCAACAAGACCAGAGTCCAGACTGCAGCGCCCTCTGGAGGCCGTGGTGGACACTGGAGGAATGGAGAATAAAACTCCAGCAACTTTTTATGTGACCAAGATAAACCTGAATGTGAAAGTTTCTACCAAAGAATTTAATCTCAGAACTCTATAATCCACATATTGTCATTTCAATCCCTTAAGAAATCTATTCGGATGTTAAATTCCTAATAGGTCAAATCTTAACTTTCTCATTTCTGTATTTTCAAATAAAAACAAACGATCCAGGCACCAGTTGTCAAGAGCGCCTGTTACAGGTGTCTAGTGTGTCTTGAAATTATTTTTAGGCATAGGACAAAATGATATACACACAGTTATTACAAGTGTATTTACTTTGAATCCTTTCCATTTCATTCGACAAACTAAAGTGTTTCGTTGTACAAAGGTGGAACTGCATGCTCATGCATTTATGTTTGTTTGCGTCTGTATTATGTGTAATTTATACTTTCACTCCGCAGAAACAACACTGACCTGTTTGAACCTGCTGTGGATGACGACAAAGATGGCGTTGAAGGTCTTACTCATAACAAAAAGAAAGACCCACGCCCAGAAGAAGCTGTGTTAGATTAAATTAACCAGCATCTGGTCCTGCACATAACTACATTAAGCAAAGAGTGAGCAATCAGTAGAGAAATAGATAAACAGTCTAAAATAAGTTTTTTTTTTTTTTTAAACAAATCACTGTAATGCCACTTTAGCTGGATTTGACGCTTTATCTGGTCTGCGGATTATCCATGCTGCTGATTTCTTACCTTAAACTGCTATATTTATACCCATCTGCTCCAAGCAGACTCATGTTCAGGCTGCTGTTTAATACACCTTATTTATATTACTGTACACATTATTATTGTTGTATATCTTAGATCCTTGTGTAAGGTTTATTTTTATATACAGTACTGCCAGTTGTTCATCACTGCAGACAATGACATTATGACATAATTATGACATGATGGCAGGACCTTCTCCTACTCCGCTCCTGTTTCCTGGAATATCTTTCAAAAAGACCTGAAGCTCTCGACCTTGACCTCTCGAAGTGGCTTTAAGAATCTGTTGGACTCCTGGCAAGGACCAATGCAGACACGTTCCTGTTTTTAGTTTTCTACATTCACCTCAGTATATTTTAAAAAATATGTACGCCTCTTTTATAATTGTCTATTGTTGTCGCTGTTGTCCATTGTTGTCATCAGTCTTTGTTGAAATCAGGTCTCTCTTGTAAATGAGTCCTCGAGGCTCAATGGGATTAACTTGTCTAAATAAAGGTTGATTGAATGAATTATGACACCTGCAGATATTTATGAAAAGCTGATTAAGTAGCATCCCTGTGATCTGCTGAGCAACACTTTATTACCAATCATCATATATCAAAATTATACAACTTTTTCCTTTAATTATTATCTTCAGTTGACAACCCATCTTTTCCCCCCTTCTGGTAAAATCTGCATACAGTTTTAGAATATATTGTACAATACTTGCCAAATTATAAGTTCTACTACTTTTATCATCCACTGAGAAACACATGTATAATAGGTTTTGTCTAATGTACCTTTTGGTACAAGGACTCTTAATAGTTGTTTAGATTCATTATTTATTATATGTCCAGGGTGTCCCCCGCCCCTCGCACAGTGATCGCTGGACATGGACACCGGTGACCCAAAATGGAAGAAGCGGGTAAAAGATAATGGATGGATGGGTTCTCAGAGCTAAATAGTTTGTACCATAAGCAAATGCTTATATTTGTATATTTTGTATGTATTTTTTTTCTTATATTTCAGCAGCAAACTGGTTGATCCACTCTGAGAAGGTGCTATTTATAAGACTGAGCTGAATACAGCACCTCAGACTGAAGAAGTCTTTCGGATGAAAGACGAAACGTTTCTACTTTTTTATTTTATTTTATTTTTTGCTTTGTTTTGTTTTTTGAATGTCCAGAGGACAAGACTGAACTTTTTTATACTCGTTTTTTGGTTTTTTAGAACTTTATTAATAATACAAAACAGAACAAAACAACAAGATGTAAACTCTCCATTGGTGTCATAACTACGTTTAACAAAAAGTTTTATTTTTAATAATGAAAGAAAAATAAAATTAGAAACAATTGTTTTTTTTTTAGATATCTGTTGTGAAATTATTCTAGTAGTTTTCCAGATTTTTAATCTACTTAATGAAGATAGTATGACTTAATTTTTTCATAAAACAGGGGAAGGAGGGCTTGTTATCCCTCCACTTGCTACAGTGAATGTGGTGCTTGCTATTACAATTTATGGAATCAGAGAATGATTATCCTGATGCATGCTCAGGATCAGAGAATGAGCTTAAGTTAGCCACACAAAATAAAATGACATCAGCATCAAAAGAAGGAACATTAAGTTTGAGATTAATCTAGATTCTAATGCCTGTCCAAAAACTTTACGAGTATTGACATGAAAAAATAAAAATACTCAAGGGATATCATGGTTCCCACTGGCCCTACTTCTTCCAGTAGGTTTGTTTCCCCCAGTAAGTTAATGTAATTGTGTTTTTTTTTGTTTCCAAAGGCAGTGTGTTTTTTTTAAATGTCATTGTGTTTTTTCAATTGTCATGTTTTGTTCTATGTTTTTCAATTTTCTCGTGTTTTTTAATTGTAGTTGTTTGCACTTCAGGCCACCGTACGGTATTCTGTGAAACTTTCATTTCAATTGTTTGGTATCTTCTGCACATATTTTATTGTGTCAAAGTACACAGACATGTTTTTCTCTGAGTATAAAAGCTGGATCATTTTTTTGAGTTTGTCTTTTACAAAGATTTTTCTTCAACTTTTTCTTCATGATTAGGCTGTTTTGCAACAGTTGGGATATCCTGATGCATGCTCAATAATCCAGGTAGAAAAATCTAAAAAAAAAAGTTAAGTCTGGTCCTCTGGACGGGTTCAAAAAAGTTGGGATGCTTCATCACCACTAATGCCTCTGTACATGTGTGAAAACTACTTGAACCATTTATTAATTTTAAATAAAAATCAAAAACAAATCTCGAGCAGCTTTTTCTTTTTTTTTCTTTCTGTTGCAAAATTTAACTTAACTAATTGGCAAAACAGTAGCAAAAGATAATCTTACAAAAGACAAAAGTCATGGAATATTAATCCCGATTAAAGTGCAAGACTTTTTTTTATGAATAATTTAAATCCTACAAAGTGTTGATACGTAGACTGAGACTATAAACAAACAACAACAAAAAAACAATATCTTGAATGGTCATTCAACATTCATATAATACAAATTTTACAGTATTATATGTTTTTAACTTTGTTTAACACATAATTTCAGTTATGAAAAATGACTGCAATAAACCTGAAATCAATGTTTTCGGTGACGTCCACGTCGCTCACGTTGCGTAGAAGCTGATTGGTTGTTGAGAGCGACGTACGTACTTACGTCACGCACGCAGCGTCACGTCTTAGCCGACCATGGCGGAATGTGGTCGAGTTGACAGCAACACAAGCAGTGGCCACACCATGGATAAAAGCATAACTCTTCCGCCTGACGAAATATTCCGCAACCTGGAAAACGCAAAGAGGTTCGCTATAGACATAGGTAACCGGAAACTTTCAAGTTTGTTTAATTTAAAAAGTGCTAACTTTCAGATGGTTGCTAATCTTCGTGTTTACGCTGCCGCAACGGATGCCTGTAAACAAAATGAATAATTGTTTTGCGTTATTTTACTGCTGAACCAAACCTTGTGAGCTTAAAGGATTATTTTCTTAAGAGGATGTTTAACACATCCGGATCAACTACATGTCAACAGCTTGACGCTAGCTATCTGTTTATTCAGCTGTTTTGCTGGTTTCCAGTTCTCACCAGTGATTTTACTCCAACAGGTGGATCCCTGACTAAGCTAGCTTACTACTCGACTGTACAGCACAAAGTGGCCAAAGTGCGATCCTTCGAGCACACCACGAAGGTACGAATGTTAATACATAAACAAGCAATATTTCTTTTGAGCATCAGGAGTTTAAAGTATCTTCTCTGTGCTCCTCAGGAAGCTGCCAGTGACAAGCTGTATGAAATATCCGTCCAGGAAGAGGTGACCGCACGCCTGCACTTCATCAAGTTTGAAAATGCTTACATCGAAACGTGCTTGGACTTCATCAAGGACCATCTGGTCAACACTGAAACCAAAGTTATCAAAGCCACAGGCGGAGGGGCTCACAAGTTCAAGGAGCTGATCGAGAAGAAGCTTGGCCTCAAGTGAGTAGCGCGTGTGGAGGTCTGCTCTGCTCTCGGCTTTTTGGTAAATGCTGCACGTAGAACTGGAACATGTGCTTGTATGACGTGACAGGGAGCTCCATATTGTAGAGAATGAAATTAAAATGGGCAACAGTCTCCGCTTTAACGGGTGCACACAGCCAGTGTCCTGCCTCCTGCTGTGAAACGGAGCTTTGTTTGTTTTCTTTTATTCTGCAAGTGTCAGACTTTATGAAGAATGTTCAGCTTTTCTGGTTCTGACTTCTGCTTTGCTGGCTAACAAAATATCGTGGACACAGCCTATACAAGAGTTTCACTTTTCACAGATAATTTTGGTTATATATATTCATATTGACTAAAGGAAACTAAAACAATCAGATGGTGTTTATTGTTATTATTGGGCGGTATGAGATTCTGACGGTGTGAACAAAATCACCACGGTTTCACGGTAATAAGAAGTTATTGCATCACAGGAGTTGTTTGCTTTTGTTTAAAAACACTAATTCGGTCCTAAACGACTTCAAAATGTATAGTAAATTCATCGCCGTCAAAACATACAAGAGCACAATATTAGTATTGCAAAGGACTGCAATAAATCCAGACCATTATATTTCAAGTACAAACCGGATTCCAAAAAAGTTGGGACACTAAACAAATTGTGAATAAAAACTGAACGCAATGATGTGGAGGTGCCAACATCTAATATTTTATTCAGAGTAGAACACAAATCACAGATCAAAAGTTTAAACTGAGAGAATGTATCATTTTAAGGGAAAAATCTGTTGTTTCCAAATTTCATGACGTCAACAAATCCCAAAAAAGTTGGGACAAGTTCATTTTCACCACTGTGTGGCATCCCCCCTTCTTCTTACAACACTCAACAGACGTCTGGGGACAGAGGAGACCAGTTTCTCAAGTTTAGAAATAGGAATGCTCTCCCATTCATGTCTAATACAGGCCTCTAACTGTTCAATCGTCTTGGGCCTTCTTTGTTGCACCTTCCTCTTTATGATGCGCCAAATGTTCTCTATAGGTGAAAGATCTGGACTGCAGCCTGGCCATTTCAGTACCCGGATCCTTCTCCTACGTAGCCATGATGTTGTGATTGCTGCAGAATGTGGTCTGGTATTATCGTGTTGAAAAATGCAGGGTCTTCCCTGAAAGAGATGACGTCTAGATGGGAGCATATGTTGTTCTAGAACCTGAACATAGTTCTCTGCATTAATGGTGCCTTTCCAGACATGCAAGCTGCCCATGCCACAAGCGCTCATGCAACCCCATACCATCAGTGATGCAGGCTTCTGAACGGAGCGTTGATAACAACTTGGGCTATCCTTGTCCTCTCTGGTCTGGATGACATGGCGTCCCAGTGTTCCATAAAGAACTTCAAATCGTGACTCATCTGACCACAGAACAGTCTTCCATTTTGCCACACTCCATTTTAAATGACCCCTGGCCCAGTGCAAACGTCTGAGCTTGTGGAGCTTGCTTAGAAATGGCTTCCTCTTTGCACTGTAGAGTTTCAGCTGGCAACGACGGATGGCACGGTGTATTGTGTTCACTGACAATGCTTTCTGGAAGTATTCCTGAGCCCATTCTGTTATTTCCTTGACAGTGGCATTCCTGTTTGAGGTGCAGTGACGTTTAAGGGCTCAATTTCCTTTTTCCAGCCACTTATTGCTACTTGTCCAAACTTTTTTGGGGATTTGTTGACACTGTGAAATTTTGAATCAACATATTTTTCCTTTAAAATGTTACATTTACTCATTAAACTTTTGATCTGTCATCTATGTTATATTACAAATAAAATATTGACATTTGCCACCTCCACATCATTGCATTCAGTTTTTATTCACAATTTGTTTAGTGTCCCAACTTTTTTGGAATCTGGTTTGTACTTTGTATTCATCTGCATGCTTATGTCATTGTTGCCTAAATGCTATCAGTTATTGTTTAAACATGATTATTTTATTAAAATAATAGCACAGTTCTACCTAATATAGCATTTTATAATTATTTAAATTTGAATGCACAAGAAACCTGACAAAAACTAAAAGGAGGCTGACATAAGACAAGTGAACATATTGACCGTCGCCGTGTTTAAAATCAGTGTGTGAGCTTCTTTTTGGGCTCGAGACACATTTGAAACCCATTTGTGATCAGCATTTTTATCATAACATTTTTATTTAAGATCAAAGCTAAACTTTTAACTTAATCGCAAGTATTGAGAGTAAATGTAACCTTTTCTTGCATTTAATTTAAAAGTAGTGTCTGATAAAACGCATAGACGCACACAGTCTTTTTGTCTTTGGCATCTTTAAACTGTAAGAATTTAACGAACATTGCACGTTTATTTTTTAAGAGTACTGTAAAATGAAATTAATTTTACAAATTGTAGTTTCTGATGATAAATAAAAGAGGCACAAAGCTCTAACTCTAGTTTGACTTTATCCAACATTTGTCTGAAATTGACGCAAGCTAACCCGGTGTTTATCCGTTCTGGCAGAGTGGACAAGGAGGACGAGATGACCTGCCTCATCAAGGGCTGTAATTTTGTTCTGAGGAACATACCACACGAGGCGTTCGTGTACGCCAAGCATGCTGACTCAGAGTTCCGCTTTCAGACCACTAATCCAGACATCTTCCCCTACCTGCTCGTAAACATCGGCTCTGGGGTGTCCATAGTCAAGGTAATGACTAATAATCAAGGGTTTATTAAGGCAGTTGCTCAAACTGATTTAAATATATATTTTTAATGATGTGCACAGATTGTGTTTTTTTTTTTGTTTGTTTTGTTTTAGAGCTTTTCTTGCAGATGTGAAAAAAGATGATGAATGCAAATGATACTTGTAAATGACATCTTGAACTTTATAAAAGTTTTTTTTTTTTTTATGATTCACGCTGGGTACCTTTTATTTTCATTCCTCACTAGGTTGAATCAGAAGACACATTTGAGAGAATAGGAGGAAGCTCAATAGGTGGGGGAACATTCTGGGGACTTGGAGCTTTGCTTACCAAAACAAAGGTATCTCAAATCAGCTGCTAAATCAAATGTTTTAATCATTGATCATCACTAGGCTTCCATCTGTTTTCCATTTCCTGTTGTTCCTGCAGCGGTTTGACGAGTTGCTTCAGTTGGCCTCGAAAGGGCAGCATACAAGTGTCGATATGCTTGTTAAAGACATTTACGGAGGATCTTATGGATATTTGGGCTTGACTGGAGATCTTATCGCAAGTAGTTTTGGGAAGTCTGCAACCGCTGACAAAGGTGACGCACAGACACGTGGATTTTACGTCATTATGTTTGCAAACAACTTGATTATTGAACGACAGGAAATGGCTTCCATTTATATGTATCCAGTCAAGTTAAGTCCGGTCCTCTGGTCTGTTTCTGTCCAGAGGACCGGACTTAACTTTGTTTTTTTTAACCTGGATTCTTGAGCATTAACTTTGATGTCTTACATAGAGTTTGTTTGCTGATGTGGCCAACAATGAAGCCCCACAATGAAACTATCATTTCAGAAGTAAAGCATTTGCTTGTGTGGTTTTAATAAGTAGTTGTAAAACATAGGAACAACGGCTGTGAGTAGCTTTCATTAATATTTAAAAAAAAAAAAATCTTAGCTGCAGTGGTGGCCAGTTTCAAACTATAACGTGTCAACATTTTATGTGAAACTCAAAACTTTGGCTTTTGTTGAATTTAATTTCATTAGATTACTCCATTACTTAGTGTACTGCTAAATACACCCCATCATCTTTACTCGCTTCTTCCTTTTTGGGTGACGGGGTTCACTGGTACCCATGTCCAGCCATGGCTGTGCGAGAGGCGGGGGATACCCTGCCTGGACTGGTCTCCAGTCCAGCAAAGGGACACACACGAGACAAACAACCATTCACTCTCTCACTCACACCCAGAGACAATTTAGAGTTACCAGTCAGCCTAACATGCATGTTTTTGGTTTGTGGGACGAAACTGGAGTACCCGGGGAAAACCCACGCATGCACGGAGAGAACATGCAAACTCCACCCAGAAAGGCCCCCGGCTGAGATTTGAACCGGGACGACCTGCTCTCTGAGAGGCAGCAGCTCCACCAACTGCGCCTAAAACACACTCCTATTTAATTATTTTGCGCATCATTCTTTAAAGTCCTTGTAACGTTTATAGATCGTAGCCCTGCAGTCACTGCAACCTTAACAACGAAACTTTCTGACTTTAAACACTGTGATAGATGGTGCAGATGTCTGTTTCTCTTATAACAGAAGAGTGGAATTTCAAAAGCTGAGTTGGAAAAGGCTTGATGCCCGTTGGCCCAGTTGGGAAATGAAGGAGTATCTCTGTTCAAGAGAAATCTGCAGCCTGCGCTGACCTACTGGAGTAAAGCCAACTGCTGCTGTTGAGCAACTGTTGCCCTCGTTTCTTCAGCTTTAGTTCAAAAGTACTGAAAATAGGTTTGATTTGGCTTTGTGGATGATACAAACCTGTCCCAGTGGTATCTGTGTGCATGTTTACCAGTTATACAGAATATTTATTCTCGTGGAACTCTGAATTGTAGAGTTTTCCAAAGAAGACATGGCCAAGAGTTTACTCCACATGATCAGCAACGACATCGGGCAGCTCGCCTGCCTCTACGCCAAGCTGCACAACCTGTCCCGAGTCTACTTTGGAGGCTTCTTCATCAGAGGACACCCTGTCACCATGCACACCATCACTTACAGCATCAACTTCTTCACTAAGGCGAGCCGTCGTCGGCTGCTACGACAGATTTGTTTGTTTTTTGCCTTTGCAGTTGAACTTTCTCATCTGCTCTGCCTGCAGCTCAAATGTTTCCCTCTTTGTGTTTTGCTGTTGCAGGGGGAAGTTCAGGCTTTGTTTCTGAGACACGAAGGCTATCTTGGAGCCATTGGAGCGTTCCTTAAAGGAGCAGAAGAAGACAGTAAGGGCAAACGCACTGCGAATGCTTCTTGTGTTTATTCACTCGTGACTCGTGCAAACACAAGAAAAGAGCTCAGATTGAAAACTTGTCCGGGCCTGAGTTTCAGAGCGGTCGTACAGGTACTGTAGGTTTACTTGTTGTTTGCAGCCCTGCAAAGTAATAACTGAACGTGTGGGAAGTTCCTGCAAATATTTTCCACAGCATAATGTGTTTTTGTTCACCCTGGGCTGAAGTATCTCACCGGGTGGCTTAATGTTGGCTAGGCCTGTCGCGATAAACAATAAATCAATTAATCGCATGGTAAATGGAAATTATCAACCTCATTTTCGTTTATGAAGGATGAAACGTCTCAACAAAACAAAAAACCGTCCAGATGACCTGACTGAACTTTGTTGGATTTTTTTACCTGGATTACCGAGCACGAACGTTGATCGAACCTAAATGTCTCGTTTTGTTTTTCCTCAGATCCAAACCTGTACAGTTGGGGTGAAAATTACGCGGGGAGCTCAGGTTTGATGAGCGTCTCTCCAGAGATGAACCCGATGCAGCGAGCTCGCAGCGGGACAGTAAGTTCACTGATGATAAGACCGGTTCATACCGGACCGTACCACTTCAATCAGCTTACTGCACTATAGTCGCTGGATTTTATTCCTTTCATACAATCTCATCAAAGTTTTTGATTTTCAGTGTATAATTCAGTCATCTCATCAATCTGATCATTCTTTTCATTTCCTTACATTCCTCTGTCTGCGTAACTCCTTCAGTTTCCTGTAAGTACCTCCACCTGCCCCTCTGCTCACTCCGCTTTGTTGTGAAGCTCTAAACCAAAGTATTTAGACTCGCCAGACTTTCCCTGCGTGCTCATATGGACTTGAGGGTGCTCAGCTTCTAGTCGCCTGCTTCCCTTTGGCTCATAACATCTCATTCTTAGATTAAATGACGGATGTCTGATGCTCAGGAGCAGTAAATGCTGTGCTTTTTGGTGTGATGCTTTTAGCTTGTAGGCTTCTGCAGACAAAAATCAGGAAATATTAACCTCCACTTTTAGCTGCTTTTCTGCATTTATTTATTCCCAGCTGGCAACAAATAAAACCTTCAAATGATACGTTAACTCATTTTGCTTTTCTTGGTGTCTTATAAAATGTGATTGTTTCTTAAAAGGACCTTTTTTCCCTATAATTAATAGTTGCGTAGCTGGTAAGTTTAAATTTTCCTTAAACTTTTTTCTATGAAATCTTTAGGATCTCTCATATTTCCATGCGTCCTGTTTAAAAAACAAAACAAATTTTAAAAAAATTGTTTAAACTGCCAGTGTTACAAAGAAAAGCAGAAAATTATGAAGTTCATTTAAAAAATATTTTTCTGGAGCAGTTCTCAGAATTTTCAACTTCAAAAAAAAAATAAAAATCTAGACAAACAGCATTTTTCTGCAAAAATGCAACGTGACCGCTGAGGGCTGAATGACGGCTGATGAAGCAGAAGCAAAATACTAGCAAAAATTATATATAAAAAAACTTATTAAAAGCCAAAAGTAGCACAATTATATGTAAAAGTAGCAAAATGTTAGCTAAAGATAAAAGTAAAAAAACAGCTAAAAGTAGCTAAAGCTAGCTAAGAAGTCAAGTCATCTTTATTTATAAAGCACATTTGAAACAGCAGCTGTTACCAAAGTGCTTAACAATAAAAATCAATGGGAGTAAATTAATGAAAAAATCAAATTAATGATAGTACTGATAAAATACCTAAAAGCATAAAAAAACATAAAAACACAGAACAAAAAATACTAAATTAACTCGCACTGTGTGAAATGCCAGAAAAACTACAATGGAGCTTGAGGGCCACGCTAAGAAAAAAATTAAAAGCCATAAAATTACCAGAATAAAGTCCTAGTATTACGAGAATAAAGTTGAACAAAGTCTTAATATTACGAGAGTAAAGTCGTACGAGACTTTTTTTTTTCTGCTCTTGTTTATTTATTAATTTTTTTCTACGAGTCAGATCCACGATGCGACCTGTCAATCAATCCAGTAGGTGTGTCAGCAAGTGACCAATTTGAAGCTAAATGCTCGTTACCTGCAGAGCTGCTGCAGCCCATCAGAGCCACCACCTGACTGTAAGCAGGTTCAAAGTCCTGATACTGGTAATAATGTTGAGGGGCAGGTTGTTCCAAAGTTTGAGGCCCATGACTGAAAAAGCCCGATCTCCTCTGATCTTCAATCTTGGTTTTGGAACGTCCAAAAGCAGCTGATCGGATGATCTCGGGCTCGAGAGGGAACAAATGGTTCTAGTAGCTCAGAGAGATGAGGGGGGTGCAAGGCCGTTTATGCACTTAAAGTTTAGCAGGAGAATTTTAAAATCAATTCTGGTACGCACAGGGAGCCAGTGAAGGGAGGACAGAACTGGTGTAATAGGAACTTCTACTACTAGAAGTTCTAGGCTTCTACTTCTAGGAACTAGCCGTAGCAAAAGTGTTGCTTAAAGCTAAAAGTATCTTTTTGTTGTTTGTTTCTGGAGATCCTCCCCTCTTTTGTTTCCAGTACAGAGGTCCAAACTCCATCTTTGCAAACCCCTGTGCTGCACAGCACGCAGCGATGGCTCTGACTCTTAAATTCAATATTTATGAATAAAACTGAGACTGTTCGTTTCTGCCTCTGCTGTTTCTAGTTTGACATGCTGGAGATGGACCGTCTGGAGCGGCAGCTGGTGAATCTGCCTCTCCTCCAAGACCCTTCCTCTTACATCCCCGACACCGTTGACCTCACGGAGGACGCGCCGGCCCGGGAATACTGGCTGTACTGCTTTGAGGAGGCGTTAGACGGGGTAGGAATGCAAAAGAGCGCCTCCTGAACTGGTTTCACACCTTGTGGTATATAGCAGCTTGTAAATAAACAAATTGCAGAGTTTATTCTTTATTGTCACAATCTTCCAGTAGAAGAACGTTTGAATTGTTCCCCTTTTAAGTGGAATATGGTTTCGATGTTTTGCTCTTATGATGAGACAATAAAGTAGAGCACAGTAGTCCCTCGCTACTTCGCAGTTCGACTTTTGCAGACTCGCTGCTTCACGGTTTTTCAAAATAAGAGTGGACACGACACACAATTGGCTGATTGATGGATGAGCTGCACGAGCGGCATGGATTGTTTGTTTAAAATAAATTAAGTGATTGCAGCCCACAGGTGCAGGGAGAAGCTCCCTCCTGCAGCCTGTCATGATCTCCTTCTCTGCCACGCCCACATTTCTGCTCCGTGCTGCAGAGCTGTGTGAAGGGTTAACCCTTTGCTGTCCTGCTGCACTTCTCTACAATTTACATTTAAATAGCGTAATGTATTAAATAAACAATCCATGCTGCATGGATTGGGCTCTTTTAGAGCGTTAAAGGCTCCCATAGACTCGCCACGCCTACTGGATTGATTGACAGGTCGTGTCCCGGATCCGACTTGTAAAAAAATAATAAAAGAAACGAGAGTTGCCGGCGGCCCAGAAGTTGCGGCAGCAGTGTTGTTTATTTATATGTTGTTAATCAAAAGTTATAATAATTTTTAAAAAAAAGAACAGGGAGCGCTGGCCCTGCAGCCCACACATCAGACCGACCCACTGGGGAATCTCCAGACGTCCTGATTGCGCATCCTTGCAACTGGTTGCTCGGAACGCAGAGAGCAGTTGATGTCGCCTACAAAACAGTCCGTCGCCGGGCTGTTTATTGTGCAACACCGAGTACGCGTATGCGGTCGTAAAAATAAATTTTTGCGCAGACAGGGCTTGCGGTCGTCCGCTTCAAGTCTGCGTTGTGTCCCCTCGAGTACGCATGGACCACTTGTACTACTATCCCTACTTAGTGGTGTTTCACTTATCGCGGGGAGGCATGGTCCCTAAACCCGGCGCTAAACGAGGGACTACTGTAATAAAAACCAGAACCAGTTCTGAGCTGTGCTGATGGCTGCTTTTCTCTGCTGGAGCAGGTGGTAAAAAGAGCGTTGGCGAGCCAGCCTGACATGCCGGAGGCGGCTGTGCGAGCCGAGAAGTTTCGCCAAAAGTACCGACACAAGCTTCAGACCCTGCGCCATCAGCCGTTGTAAGGATTCCTACTGGCTGTGTTTGTATTTAACTAGACGTGGCCTGTTAGTCCAAACTAAAAACTTTCTCTGCATTAGTTTTACATCTTCGTACCTGCCTGTTGTGCTTTCTCCATAAATGTGAAAATATGTTTATTTTTGTTTATTGTTTCAGTTTTAGGAGTGGGATGCTTTGAGCAAGTGTGTGTTAGTTCTGTTAGTGGTTCGGAATGTTCAAGATTAATCTGCTCTTCAGTTTTATTCAAGAGAATCTCAAACTTTTTGATTCTTCGGGCGTCGCTTTTCCAATAATCCAAATATGAGCAGAAAGTAGAAAACGGTTTTGCCGCCGCCGCCTCGTTGTGTCTGTTCACGTTTTTCTTTGGCTAACGTAGAGTGCTTCTCTTCTCACCCAGTGCTTATGGATCCCTCACTGTCAGAAGTCTGTTAGACACGAGGGAACACTGTTTAAACGAGTTCAACTTTCCTGACCCCTACTCGAAGGTCTGAGTGAAATCTGTCGAATCTGTTTTTATGTCTTCTTTGTCTTCTCCGGTTCGGTCTTTGTGCTCTCACAGCGAGACAAATCATTTATGACATTTCGTCTTTTACATTTCTAAATGTTATTGAAAAGCCAAATTGTGTCATTTGAACTGAGTCCCGTTGTTGCCGTGTTTCAGATTAAGGAGCGAGAGAACGACGTGGCTCTGAAATATTACCAGAAGGCGGTGACGTCCTTGGACCAGCTGAGCTCGGAGGACAGGCAGTTCGCTCTGGTCAGAGGCGTCCTGGCTGGGAACGTGTTCGACTGGGGAGCCAAGGCCGTGTCAGAGTGCGTGCTGCTTTAAATCCTGTTAACATCCTGGTTGAGACTTCATTTTTGTATTCTTTTTATTGTTGCAGCAGCTGCTCCCAATATCTGTTCTACTTACTTACCTTAAGTTTCATAATCCTCCACATGGACTAAAATGTACTGGATTATATAAACGTTTAGCTCATAACTTTTAACACGAAATGGTATTCTTTTAGTCTGACTGCACCTTTTTTTTTAGTTTGTTTGGAAAACTGTTTATGCTTGTACAAATTTCACTTTTTAAAGCTTTTGTCCTAATGCATGCAGTGTCCTGGAGTCGGATCCCGAGTTTGGGTTTGAAGAAGCGAAACGGCAGTTGGAAGGTACCCGAGAGTTCGCGTTTAACGCCGTTTACACTGCAGGAACATGGCGAGCAGTAAATAAGCCGAGTGGCAGCTTCAGCTTCTTTAAACCTGAAACATTATTACATTTGAAAAAAGCAAATTGGAGACTGAAAGTGCTCGTTTGGTCGATATTTATTTTCAAGTGAAGGGTTTGTGAAGTGTGCAGCTTGTGTGGATAGTTTGAGGGAATATATTTTAAGCTGGGGGAGTAACAAAGTGCTCGTCTTAGCTGCAGGACAGCAGGATGGAGACTTTAGGTTTAGAGGAGCGTGCAGTATTTGTTCTAACCTCTGCTCAGACACAATAAGTGTATTTAAGCCATCTAAAATATCTCGGAGCCTGTTTATTAATTTATTTACCTTTTTATTTAACCAAGCAAATCCCTCTGAGATCACAGATCTCTTTTGCAAGGAGGCCTGGGCCTGAAGGCAACTGCTGGATAAAAATATCCTGTGTTCATTTTGTTTAGTCAGAGAAGACGCGCTCGAGGACACAAGAAGATTTTTAACTGGTTTTACTTGAAAGGGCAAACTTTCACAACAGGTTACACAGATGTACAGAAGGTCTACATGCATGGAGCCCAGTCACGAGAATCTGCCACGGACAGCGCGCAAGCTTTGTTTTTATCAGCTCACAGGCAGACACTGATGACCTCGGCCATCTAGCTGCACATGCAGGATCATATCAGCTCCTCATTCAGCTCTCTGAGAGAGAAAGTAACTCTGCTAACTCCAACACATGGTTCATGGGCAGTTAACATTCTTAAAAAAAACATCCATAAACCTTGACCAAAATCCCCTGACAGCAGCCTAACGTGCACGTTTTTAGACTGTGAGAGGAAACAGGAGCACTCGGAGAAAACCCACGAGGAGAAGGAGCAAACTCCACGCAGAGAGAAACCCCCAGGTCCAAGCCAGGGATGGAAACCAGGACTTTTTGCTGTGGGGCAACCGTGCAAACCACTGATCCATCATGCTGCCCAGATCCTAAATTCAAATCGGTTCGTGCACATGTTGTGTTGTGCATTCATTCAACCTTTATTTACACAGGTTAGTCCCATTGAGCCTCGGGGACTCATTTACAAGAGACACCTGATTTTAACAAGGAGTGATGTCGACAGTGGACAATAGACAATCATAAAATAAATCATACTAATTGAGAAGAATAAATGAAAGAAAATGGTATTAAACAAAAAAAAAACGCAACAAAAACAGCTACATTATAAAGAGGTGTAGAAAACTAAAAGCAGGAACATGTCTCCGTTGATTTTTGCCATGAACTTTGCAGATTTTTGAAGCCACTTAGAGAGGTCGAGAGCTTCAGATCTTTCTGTAATATTAAATAAAGATGTTCCAGGAAACGGGAGCGGAGAAGGAGAAGTCCCTGTTGCCTAGTTCAGTCCTCACTGAGGGAACACTGCAGGTAATAATGTCCTGAGAGCGCACGCTGTAGCTGCACTCACGCTGAGACATGTAGGAGGAGATGTATGAAGGCAGCAGACCAAGAAGTGATTTAAAGATGAAAATGTACCAGTGAGAGAGTCTGTGTGAAGTTAATGGTGACCAGTTAACCAGTGAATACAGGGTGCAGTGGTGGGTATGGTAATCACAGCCAGTTATGAATCTTAGCGCACCGTGATAGACAGAGTCCAACATGACTTTCTGGATCACTTTTCCATCAGATATTTAGGTGAAAGAGCATGTTTTGCAGCACAGCTGTGACCCGTGCGCAACATATTGTCACAGAGTTCATGAACATGCCAGGAGCAAAAGTAACATTATGTAAATACCATAGTTACAATTTCTTCTACGAATTAAAAGCTCATTTGTAGCTACCCTTTGAGTCAGCAGTAATATTCCAGAAGGACGGGTATCTGCTTCTACTTATTTCACACAACCTCAGAGAAAGACGTTTTTATGGGATTTTTGAAAACTCTCGCTCAAACTGACTTTTGTTTCCTCCCTCAGAGCGTCCGTGGCTCGTTGATTCCTATGACCAGTGGCTGGAGAGACAAAAGGTCAGGCTCTCTTCACCGACCGCTTCACTGTTGCACAAAGTTCAGTAGAACGTCTTCAACAGAGAATGTCCCAACGCTGATTTATGACGTGCTGTTTTTGTGTTTGTGCTCTCGAGGATTAATGCTTGGATACGAATTATCCTGGTTTTCTGTTGCAGGGTCCTCCTCACAAGTGTGCCTTGTTTTTCGTAGATAATAGTGGCGTGGACATCATTCTTGGGGTGATGCCCTTCGTCAGAGAGCTCCTCTCTCGAGGAACAGAGGTGAGGATCTAAAGACCTCGCTATAAATATTTACTGCCTTTGGCAGAAACCTTTCAAACTCACGGATGTGCTGAAATGTTCAGGTTGTGTTGGCCAGCAACTCTGGTCCAGCGTTAAATGATGTAACGAACAGTGAGCTGCAGATCCTGACCGAGAAAATCGCTGCAATGGATCCTGTGATTCAGTAAGTCTAAGCCATGCTTTTTATTTATTTTAGTTTTGTTTTCAAAAGAACCAGTGAAGATTCTAGTCCTGATTATTGTGCAGATTTCAGTAAACTGTAAATGAAATTCATTAAAACTTATTTCGTATGTGAGATGCTGTAAGTTGTTAAAACCATCAGTGACGTGTTTGTTGATGTGCAGGGCCGCCCTGAGGGAGGACCGGCTGACCTTAGTCCAGAGCGGTTCCAGTTCTCCTTGTCTGGATCTCAGGTCCATTACTTTCATGTTTTTGCCCATGTCTGTGTACGTGTGTGCACGTGTCCATATTGTGTTAGTAAAATACCTGATGGACCACGTGATAGATTTTAATTCAGGGTGTCCCAGTTACTTTCAGATTGAGTACAAGTACTCGGTCTGGGTACTTGCTGATACTGAGTACAGATGGCGAGTAGTTAGTGATTTAGTACTTTAACATTCCATCCATCCATCCATCATCTGCTTGTTCTGAAGTCGGGTCGTGGGGGCAGCAACTTGAGCGAGTACTTGACTTGAGCAGGGAGGCCCAGACATCTCTTTCCACAGCCTCTTCCAGCTCTTCTGGGAGGACTCCAAGGCGTTCCCACACCAACTTAGAGACGTAGTCTATCCAGCGTGTCCTGGGTCTTCCCTGGGGTCTCCTCCCAGTCGGACATGCTCGAAGCACCTCCCTAGGGAGGCGACCAGGAAGCATCCTTACCAGATGCCCAAACCACCTCATCGGGCTCCTCTCAATATGGAGGAGCAGCGGTTCTACTCCGAGTCTCTCCTGATAACTGAACGTCTCACCCTGTCTCTAAGGGAGAGTCCAGTTACTCTGTGCAGGAAACTCATTCCAACCACCTGTATCCACGATCTCATTCTTTTGGTCACTATCCAGAATTCGTGACCATAGGTGAAGGTAGGAACATAGACCGACCGGTAAACAGAAAGCTTCTCCTTACAGCTCAGCTCCCTTTTCACCACAATGGACCGGCACAAAGTGCGCAATACTGCAGACGCTGCACCAGTCCGTCTGCCAATCTCACGCTCCATTCTTCCCTCACTCGTGAACAAAACCCAGAAATACTTGAGCTCTTCTACATGAGGCAGAACCTCGACATGAAGAGAACAACAGAGAGCTTTAAATTACACAGACTTTAATAACACTTTACTTTTATTAAGAACCCAGAAAACAGTCGGCTGTCTTTACAGCACCTGTATTAATCTGAAAATATCTCCAAACTATTGATATTTGTCATTTTTTGTCCATGATTACTTGCAAAGTGGAAGTGGAAATGACATCACCAAACATAAAAATGGTATTGATGCTAAGTATTGGGGTGTTTTTATGAGTACAAGTACTTCATTCTGGTGTTGGGTAACACTAATTTTAATTAAACTCTCAGAAAGAAATCCAGCTGCACCTCATGAACTTTGCTATAATTCAGTCAGTTTTACAGATATCGAGGCATAATGTGATGTGGTAGTAGCTGAGAGTCCTCAAGACTTGAAGTCATAGCACGACTTGTAAAATCTATCACGCGATTGCTCTGAAGATTTCACCAAAACAGCTGCAGCTCTGCTCCTTCTGAGCAGGAGATGTTCTCAGTTTAAAACTCTGGCATGAAAGGCGGCGGCGAGATGCACGACTTCAGGGAACGCTAGGGCTTTAATTTTTAATCATGTTTTTATAAGCATTTTTCACAAACCATGTCCTAAAGCTGACTTTCTGTCTTGTGCTTCTCCAGCCGCCTGGACAAAGTGTTGGCGATGGTGGTGCGCGAGCGGCAAACCGACCTGGTGATCATCGAGGGAATGGGCCGAGCCATCCACACCAACTACTACGCCACGCTCAGCTGCGAGAGCCTCAAGATGGCTGTGATCAAGAACTCGTGGCTCGCCGACCGACTGGGAGGAAAGCTCTTCAGCGTGGTCTTCAAGTACGAGGTGCCGGCGGGGAAATCCAACGAGTACGACCCAGCGTTGACGCCGTAACGAGCCGGATGAAGTTCGCGCAGAGACAGACCCACATCAGAGTTGAGGTGGAGCTCTGAATGTAATGACTCAGACGGGGAGATTTTACAGCGCTTTTTTATTTTTATTTTCACCGATTATATTTTGGGGGTTCGAACATAAAATAGCTTTTTGTTTTGCAAGTTTATAACGAGCTCAGTCGGTTTGCTTTGGCTGTTAATGTCTGCTGATCACATTCACCACGGAGAAGTCTTCACTGCCTGTGCTCAGTCCTCTGAACGATATCATGCTGCCGAAACGACTCTTTTTTTCCACTTTTTGTGTTAAAAAAAAACACAAATCTTTAGCTGGCATGTGTGTTTTTGAGCTGGAGAGGAGTCGACAGCATTTATTCATACGGCAACTTTTATCCGTATCATAAAGTGTATTTAATGTGCCTTAAGCCTGATGTGACGCACACATCATTTACTCAGATTGCTTTCAATTCTTGTTAAAATCAATGACAAAAACATTATTTTCCATCACTCTTTTTGGTGCAGACTAAAAACAAATAATAATCAGATTGTGACGACCGGCAGCGCACTAATTGAAGATGATGTGATGAATGTTTGTCATTGTGCGAGCAGCATCTAAAGCAGGCAGGGTTTTATTCCTCCACTAGGTGGCAGTGTTTCACTGTAGATTCAGTTTTATCTAATCAAATGTTTCCCAAGGTGCTTGGTGTGAAAATTAACACTACATATTTCAGGTCAGATGTTTTTAAAGTGCTGCAGCAATGTGAATCTGTGGATTCACTCAAAGTATAAACACGTGGGGGTTCTGTCCCTCAGTCACCAAAAAGCACCTGAAGATCATAGCACCCCAGCTCTTATTGTGACGGTTGATTTGTAATTTTATAGAAAATATCAGACTTTAACATCAAGATGTTGACATAAAGGTTCATGTTGCAGTGTTAAATTTTCGCTTTGTAAATATGTGATATATAAGTATGAGTGTATATAAATATACATATATAAAACGCAGCCACTTCTGTTCACTCGAGCGCACCAAGCACAATATTTGTTTTCGTTTTCCTGACAATCAGTTTTAAATAAATTGTACAAACTTTTACCTGTTCCTTGGTGAGCATGCGTTAGTTTTTAGTTCGTGTCGTGAAAGTTTTTAATTTAATTTAATTTTTTTAGATCAGTAGAGAAATGAGGAGAGTTGGCCTATATTAAAAAGCCAACCTGCTCCTGGCAGAATCAAAGCTCGGCACCCTGAAACGAGGAGGCCGACTCCTGCTGAGGCGCTCCGAGTTGATAATGCATGAGGAGCCGCAGCAGGGGGTCCTCCTGCTTTTCCTCTCGCTTATCTCTGATTGCCTAAACACTCCAGAGCTGCACCAAGACCCACACCTTTGGTTTTCATCACGTCTGTTTGCAAATAGTCTGTTTTTGTTTCGTTTCCTGAGGGTGCACTCGTTAGTTTAGCTCCTCCAGGTTTGACACGACTGTCTTGGTGTGATTTCTTCATAAAAAGATTACCAGGAAGTGTTACGCACCTAGTATCTCCAAACGGCTCCACATTCAGAACACGTTTAATGATAACCTGCACTGATGAGCAACAATCTGACTGAAGCCAAAAACTTGGGTTTGTTTCATCCAAATAACTTTTTTTTTTTAAATTTTGTAATATTTTGATTAGAAGGCGCCTAAAACTTTTGCACAGCACTGCGTGTCTGGCTTGAATGTAAAAGGTTAACAGTTTATTGCGAACAATTTTATGTAATTTTCCCTTCAGTGCCAATTTAAAGGGGTTTTGTGAAAAGCATAACCCTTTGAACGTCGACCCGCAAATTTCAATAGACGTGTTTGCTGCAGCTGCAGCGGCACAGACTAATGTCTGCATGCTTTTATTTTTTTACTGTATAACTTTCTAATTATAGACGGGACTCAAAACACGCAGATACCACAGGCCCGGAGAAAACAGTGCTGCATTGACTGCAACTGTTTGCACAACACTAATTATGGCAGTTACCATCAACAAACATTTCAAAAGACTTACTTAGCAATGATTTTAACACTAGCTGAAGCTTTTGTCTCTTGGACCAGGGGTGCCCCAAAAGGGATGGCCGGGGGGGTCAATGCCCACCTTATAGTTTCTGGCTGGACAGCCCTAAATGCATAATCTGCCAAGTTAGCAATCGTTGTCATAAACTACCACATGGATTTTAGTAAAACTCTGCAAGTAATTGAACTGAACCTACATTAAACAAGTTTTAGTTTTAAAAATGGCTGCCTTAGCTAGCAACTTCCGCAAACACGAAAATGTTTTTAACTCAGTTTTACAAATACTGAGCTAAAATTTAGTGTGGTAGTGGTTGACCGTCATCCTTAAAGGTGGTAACTCACTGGGCTGCGACTAGTTGGCGAACGTCATTCATTAGGGAGTCTCCAGGATGTCGTCCAGCTTTAGCTGTGGCTCTCAACTTCTTTCTGTATCTTCAAATAGTTTGTGTGATATATTTTCTCTTAAACATGGGCACTGAGTTGTCGTAGGCTTCCACTCTAAGTCCATTAGTGTTGTATTTTGACTCCTGCATGAGCTTTCCTCTGATGGAAAACATTCAAAACAACTGTCCTGGTCTAAAAGCCACTCTGATGATAATAATTGAAAAACACGATCCTGACTTTTAACGATGTACTTAAGAAGATAGAGGCAAAATGCCAGTATTTATCTGGGTTAATTTAAAATGCTTTGTCCTAGAGGGCTATTCAACACAATTAACTTTGTTGTTAACTCTGTCACTTGTGTTCTACAAGATGCTACAACCACTAATTGTGAAAACTTTCTTTCTCTTTTTTTTTTCAAGATAAAGAGGCATCGTTCGGACAGGGTACTGGTTCTAATGCTGCTCCTTCCCTGTTGCTGCTGAAGCTTCAGTTGTGTTTGAACAACCAGTTTCTCTTGCTACTCTTACTGATGTTCAACACATGAAGCTCACCAACTACCCACTGGACATTCTTCCTTCTAAGTTTTTGAAAAAAGGTTTTTAATACTCTGTTTCAGTGTCTTAAATTTTTTAAACTATTGCCTTATTTTAGGAACTGTCCCTGCTGCTTTTAAACATGCTGTAGGCCCCTTCTTGTTAAATCCTCACTTTGACCTATCAATTGTATACATTTTCATAAATTTTACCACCTACTTGACCAACTGAACTTTCTCTGTCATGATGGGTACTCTGTCTTCCTCTACTGCCCCTCTTTCTTGTGGTGTGCCGCAAGGCTCCATTCTCGGTCCTCTTCTTTTGTTCTTTATATGCTGCCACTTGGATCAGTTACAGAAAGTCACCACTTTTCTTTTCACTGTGATGCAGAGGGCTTTTACAAATGTATTTGCTTACGAAGCCTAAAAATAGTCATCCTCACATTTCTTTTACTGACTTTATTAAAACATAAAACGGGCTTCACCAAAACATTCAATTTTTTTAAAGGAAGGAAAGAGAGTATATCTTATTTTGGTGATGATCCTCCTTATAACTTTGGTGCTCTGACATGAAAGTTCAGAGTCAGAGTTTCTTTATTCTCATTCGCACCTCATGTGGTACATGTGGTGGAGCGAAATTATGTACACTGGGTCCCAGTTACATCCAACAATAAAATGTATAAGAAAAACGGTAATAAGTTCAAGTTCAAGTAATAAGTTCACTGAAGGTCAAGTCAAGGTTCTTTATTGTCATTCGCATCACACGTGGTACATGAGGTGGAACGAAATTGTGTACTCAGGGTCCCAGTTAGTTACATCCAACGATATCAAAAATATAAAGTGTAAAAGAAACAGTAAATAAGGATCTAAGATTTAAACTAAGATATTAGCTAAACAAGCGCCCAACGGTACACTAAAAGATCTAAGATATACGCTAGTCACTAAAAGTGCAAAACGATATACCAAACAAAAGCAGCACGATTCTCATAGGTTCAGTTCGGCTGTACCAAAGCATGCAACAAAAATACCGATCAAGGCGCCAAAAGTGGAAAATAAATAAATCTATAGCAGCATGGTGCTATTGGCAGAGTGGTTCTGATGACAGTGAGGTTATCTTAGCAACATGGTCCAGTTAGCAGCATGATACTGTTAGCAGTGAGGTTTGGTTGGCAGTTGGGTTTCTCTTAGCAATATGGTCCCGTTGTCACCATGGTACTGTTAGCGGTGTGGTTCGGTTAGCGGTGTGGTCTTCTTAGCAGCATTAGAAGGTCTTATTGGCAGGTCCCATCAGCAGCCAGATGGTAACAATGACCGCAGCAGCTGCCCTTCCAAACTGCCCTCTAGATCCGGGTTCGGCAGACAGAGAACTTCCAAGGTTTTCCCGCGGAACCGAACAGGTCCGTAGAGTTCGGTCCATGCAGGCAGATGGAGGATCATGTAGACAGCCGCCATGACAGGCCTGAGCCCGAGTCTGGAAGGACTGAACCACCATGGCAAGATGGCAAGGCAGCGACACAGAAAACTCCACAAGTGTGTCGCGGTCATACCCATACCGCAAATGTGCAGTGTAGGCGCGAAAAAAGTTTGAGTCAAAGCGGAAAACTTTCACCGGGAGCCTGTGAAGCTGCCACTGGACTGAGTGTGGCCATCTTGGCATCTTCGTTCAGACCCACAGTTAAAAACTTGGGGGTGACCTTTGACAAGAATTTGAAGTTTGACAAACATATAGCCTCTATAGTCAAGGTCAGCTTTTATCAGCTATGCCTTTTAATCAAAGTTGAGCTTTTTTTTTTAATCGTCCTGACCTGTAAAAAGCCATTCGTGATTTTATCAGCTCAAGGCTTGACCACTGCAATGCTCTGTATGTAGGAATCTCCCAGTCCTCCATCAGATGTCTTCAACTTGTCCAAAATGCTGCGGCCCATCTTTTAACCAACACTTCCAGACATGAGCACATTACCCCGGTTTTGTTTTCTCTTCATTGGCTTCCAGTCCATTTTAGAATTGATTGTAAACTTTTATCATTCACTTTAAAGCTCTTAATGGTCTCGGCCAACCTTATTTAACTGATCTATTAACTTTTTGTGAGCATAAGAGAACCTTAAGATCAACTAATACATTTTTACTGTTTGTCCCAAAGTCCAAATACAAATGTTGGGGTGACCAGGACTTTCCAGTTGCTGCACCCAGACTCTGGAACCAGTTAGCTCAGGACTTGCACGTCATCACTGACCTGGGCCTTTAAACCTTTATATTCAGGCAGGCATTTTTGTATTGTTTGTTTTCAACTTTTGTATTGTGCATCACTTTGTGCACCTTTTGGTTGTAGGAAAGGGCTCTGTAATTAAATAACTGTTGATTGATTGAAGATTAAATCATAAAAGATGGGTTGAAATTTAGAGTTGCCAACTAGTCTCCCAACAGTCTTGGTTTAAAATTTTAGAATGCAAGGCAGTGGGAGACTTGAATCCTTTTAAGCAATGTTGGTTTCAATTATAAGTAAGCAGTAAGGTAAAACAAAAAGTAGGCAGCAACCCCTTACCTCCCACACTGAAGTATTTTCTCTAATAGGTTTTGTTTTGCCACCTCATGTTTACTAGCGCCCCCATCTGGCCCATCAGAGTATTTGGAGAGGCCCCAGACTTGGCCCAACATTAACATCAGTTTTAATTAATCAGGTGACCTTAGTGCAGTACAGTGTATGTAAACAGTCCTCATTAATCCAACAATTTTCAGTCAGGTCATCTGGACAGTTTCTTTCTTCTTTTTTTTTATTATTGCTGAAACGTTTCACTTTCTATCCAGAAGGCTTCATCAGTCAAGGAAAAACACAACACAAAACCGATTCTTCCCCCAAACAGCTTACTCCAAAATGGAACAACCCAGTTATGTTGGTGCTAAGATGGTGTCTTTGGCACGCCCCCTCCTCTTGTGCCGGCCTCTTCCTCGTCGACAGTCATGTCAGACTGTTACGTCTGTTTTGTTTCACCTTTTTGCAGTTTCTATGTTCATAGAAACTTGGATTTTAGTTAAATACGTAAATAATAACCACTGTCATGTTTTACTTAGGGCACAGCGGCGCAAGTTGGTGGAGCTGTTGCCTCTCAGGGAGAAGGTTGCCGGATCGAATCCCAGCCGGGGGTCTTTCTGAGTGGCGTTTGCATGTTCTCTCTGTGCATGCGTAGGTTTTCTCCGGGTACTCCGGTTTCCTCCCACAGACGAAAAACATGCATGTTAGGCTGATTGCTAACTCTAAATTGTCCCTAGGTGTGAGTGAGAGAGAGAATGGTTGTTTGTCTCATTTGTTTCTGTGATGGACTGGAGACCTGTCCGGGGTGTCCCCCACCTCGCAGGGCGGAGCACATCTTCATCAGTTGTTTCCATTAATGAGGAACCTTGGTACTTAAGGCCACCTGGATCATCTAGACGACGCTGGATCATTGTCCCTCATTTGGTTCACTGACTGGCGTCCTAAGATTAAACTAACCATGGTTTCTTTGTGCTCCTTGAAGGTCCTGTTCTGTTCTCACCTGCTTCTGGAACCAACTCACGATTCTCCTCAGCAAGCTCCTCATGCCCTCTGGATCTGCCACCTAAAACCACAACACTAAGGTTAATCTCCAACCGTTCAACCTTGAAGCCTGTCTTTCCACTTCCTTTCACTTTGCATCGCTTACCTGGTCACCTTGATCTGCTCTGTCTTCCTGGAGTCATCTCCCTCTCCAACCTGCAACCCACAAGTTGGTCTTTTGACTTCGTCCCTCCAACAATCATCAAAGATTTACAAGAAATTTACTCAGCACTTCTCCTCTACAGCTTCTCCACCTCACTTTTGTCAAAGACTTACCTTCTACTGATTGACTCTCGCGTCTCTATTTGCACTCTGGGTATTCAACCATGAAAACATGATGTGGGTAAAGATAATGATGGATGGATGGATGGATGGATGTTTTACTGAAAAGTAGAAAAATGCAAACCTCGATATTTTGGTTTTGTGTATTTTCACAAAAAGAAGCAAAATGAGCTAAAGCATCTCCGAAAGTCAAGCGTCACAAACCAAGCATTTATTTATTTATTTGCTTTTGCAGCGAATAAAACTTGAATCACCTGCAGCGACTGATCAAGACTTGACGACGCGGTTCAAGCCAGAAGTACGACAACATGTTCACACCAGTTTTTTTTAATTTATTTCTGTAAATGTGTCACCAACTCCCATAATGATCTCTAAAAAGCCTCTTTTTTTTTTAGTCTCGGAGAACTGCAGGGGTCCTCTATAAATGTCACCTCGTTCTCTGCGTAGCTGCCAGAGTTGTTCTCAGATGTGTCTGGCATTAACAAGATATATATGGAGTTATCAGCTTGAAGCTTAATATATACTTTCATTTAGAAAAGTCAAAATAGACACAGAGATTATGAATGTGTGGTGAACCAAAGTGCTCTGTTTAAGATGTTTGTCAGTGAGCGCAAATCAACTCGCAGACTGTTTTCTCCACAGATTATGCTTCTTCTGTCAGAGCAATAGATGTTTCTCAAAGCAACATGTCATTACGCTCCAGATTAGTTTCAGAAGGCTTTTTGATTATTTATCTTCTATAGGCAGCCCAAGTCCCTCTGTGATAAACCCAGTTTCTTTGTGACAGTTTGAATTGCCACCATGCGCACAACTTTAAGTTCATTCCTTTTATTAACACTAACAAGCACATTTTTCACTAAACGTAATAACACACTGCATTTCTAAATGTCACCCGGTTCCCGGAGGTGATTTATGGACAATCGTTCAGCGTTAAGTCTGCAACACAACAGGCTCATGGTGCAGATGTGGAGGAAGTCTGGCTGGACGCCATGCAGACTTGGGAAGCTCGATTCGAAGAGCAGTTTTATGAAAGATTCAGTTTTACTGCAGAGGAAGTCTGAAATGAACCCAGACTCACCTCCTTGTGGTGCTAGAATCAATCTCTCATTGGTCTTTAATTAGAAAAGTTGTTGCTCATTGGTCAGTGCTCTCATTTATTTGATATAAACAAATAATCTGTTTTGTTCATCCATTAATTTTCTTCCACTTATCTGTGGTCCGGTCACAGAAGCAGCAGGCCCGGGGGGAAACCCAGACATCCTTCTTCTCAGGGACATGCTCCAAATCCTCCTGGAGGATCTCAAGATGGACAGAGACAGAGGACATGCCTGGAAATCCTCCAGAGGGAGGCATCCAGGAGGCTGAAGGTGAATCAAAGAGGAGGATCAGCAGCTCTGAGCTGGTCACAGATGACAGAGCTCCTCACTTTGTCTCCAAGGTCACTGTCCTGCCACCCTATATGTGACGCCCTTATCAGCTGCTTGTATCCAGGATCCTTTCAGTCAGACCCATAACTAAAACATAGACCAGTAAATTATGAGCTTTACTTTTTGACTCAGTTCCTTCTTCGTAATGACGGACCAAAGCAACACCCACATTACTGTTGATGAGGCTCACATCTGTTGATTCATCGCTCGCTCAACGTTTGAAATATAACTTGTTTTGATAAAATGTTTGACAGCAGGTTTTTTTTTTTTTATATCTTGGCTCAGCCTCGAATTAAGATTTTTTATTTTTTATTTTTTGGTCAAACATGAGACAGTTACATCCTGCAGGCCTACACCTCACTGGAAAAGTCATTTCACTGGTCTGGGCTCTTCAGTTTGGTCTGCCTCCATGAAACAGCTGTAAAACAACTTATTTATTAAATACATGTTTAAAATGGGGCAGCACGGTGGCACAACCGGTAGAGCTGCTGCCTCTCGGCAAGAAGGTTGCCAGTTCAAATCCCAGTCCGGGGGCCTTTCTGGGTGGAGTTTGCATGTTCTCTCCGTGCATGCGTGGGTTTTCTCCGGGTGCTCCAGTTTCCTCCCACAAACCAAAAACATGCATGTTAGGCTGATTGGTAACTCTAAATTGCAGGTGTGAGAGTGAATGGTTGTTCGTCTCGTTTGTCTCCATGTGTCCTTGTGATGGACAAGATACCTGTCCAGGGTGTACCCCGCCCCTCGCACCTTGATTGCTGGACATGGGCACCAGCGACCCCCGTGAACAAAATGGAATAAGCGAGTTAAAGATGATGGATGAATGGATGTTAAAAATGTGAATGAGGCAAAAAAAACATTTCAGATTGATTCTAATATGTGTTTTATTTTATTTATTTATTATTGTTTACTCCTAAAACTGCAATAAAATACTTAAAAACAGTTTAAGGTTAATTTTTGGTGAATCACAAAACATTAAATAAATTTAAAAAAACTTTTATTTAACACTTTTCAAAAGTAATTAAAAAAAAGAAGTTAATTTTAGCACAAATAAATGCTGTTTTCCATTTAAAAGTCTCATTATTTTTAAATAAAATATGTTTTGCAAAATTTGAAATTAGAACTAATCAAATTACTTGGAAGAGCTGATTCAATAAATCAAATATTTGTAGCAACAGTTGTTTTTTTTTTTCATCTTTTTTCAAATTTATATTAAAACTTTGTTCAAATTTCATCAACAGCAACAACAAAATGGTGTTTTCCGGGTAAAAAGTGAGACCAGAGGAAAATTACATGAACATCTTTGGATTTGTTGCTTCAGCTGCAGCTCGGGAGCGCGCACCCGGGAGCGCGCACCCGGAGCTGCCGTCGCTCTCAGCAGCTCCATAAGAGCGCGCAGAGTCCGGATGTTGGACACATCGTCCCGGGAGCGGACCTCACAGGTTTGGGTTCTACCTGGATCCACATGAGCCAGCTGCTGCTCGAACCCCGAACAGAACCACAGGAGAACTGCGACAAACAACCCTAAAGTAAGAAATAATCCCAATCCTCATCCGTCAGATTACCTGGCTGCTTTCATTTCTTCCTTTTTGATTCTTCAAGTGTTTCTGGGATGCTCCGAAGAGCTTTGCAGTGACTTTGTGGCGATTTAAATTCTAAGAACTGTGTTTTCAGAACAAGTCTACTTATTGTTCCAGTCTAAATATTTATTTCACAATTTCTCTATTTATTAACGCAAAAATGAATTCTAATAAAAATGGTCCCTTTTTGTTTCTCTGATTAAAAAAAACTAGAGTCAAGCTGGTGTTGCACGTGATTTATTAATGCTTCATAAACAAGTTATTTAAGAGTTTCACAAAGAAATAATCATTTATTAGAAAAAAAATAACTGTGTGTACAAATGCACATGCACTGCTGGACAGATTATTATAAGAGCTGTCTGACCACTATTTGCTCATTTTCACCTAGAAATCAGTCATTTTTACCCAATTGTTTATTAATGGTTTATCGAGTGAATTAATAATAACTGCATTATCGATTAGTCATTTATAAATGCGCCACTAAAGGTGGTACATTTTTGATAAACATTAAATCAAGATAAACACCTGACAATAAAAACCAGTTTCAGAAAACACATGAGAAACGACGAGAGAGCGACTTGTTTAAAAGTTAAAAAAAATAAGCCTTTTCTCCTCATCTTTAGGGCGTAATGTAGATTAAAAGCAAGTCAATCAGAAGTGATAGAGTGGGGGTGACAACAATCTGATGCACAAATACAGAAGATAAAACTCAAGGACACGCCTGATCAAGGTTTCAAACCTCTTATTGAAGCTGTTTATTTAGCACCTTATTTCTGCAGAGGGTTCATTTAAACGCAGCCCTTTGTGGCTCCTAATCTAAATGAGATAATTGCCAAACACCCAGCCTTATTTTGCACCGGGGTGTGAAACTTGCTACAAATGCTGCCAAGCACGGCAGCATGTGTTTGATCAGAACTGGCATGCAGTCAGAGGCGCTCGGTGCCACGAACCCGGGGTGGAGAAGAAACTTTGGGTTCATATAATTACTCTGCATGCTTCACTTAATGATCTCCAACAGAAGCGGTTGCCCCCCTGCTGGTGGGTCAAACTGTTCCCATGTGGGATGACAATATATCCCGGTGCAGGTGTCCACATCTGAGGGGTCAGCAGAGGTTTTGTTGCTGTTGCAGCAGCCAAAGCTTTGATGTGTATGAGGGCCTTCAGCTGGTGTTTATGTATCTGTCAGGAATTAATAGACTTATAATCTAGACGAGAAAAAAAAAAAAACCCTTTGATTCCTATTTTTATTCTTTCTCTCAGCTTTACGCCTTGTTTTCTCGTTTTCTCCCAGTTTCTCACCCCCGTCTCGCCCTCCTCCCTTTTGTCTCGCTCCTCTCAGTGGGACGCCCGGGCTTCTTGCTTGCAGACTGTGCGTCTTACAGCACTTTTAAAACACGCCTCTGCGTGGGCGTCTGATGGAGGTTTCCCTGCTGCGAGCGTGCATTTGTGTTGCAGGCAGAGCGAAAGTGTTGCTGCCCTCGAACAAGATGCTGCCGGTGTTAACCCTGCATCAGACACAAGGCTCTGCTCTCGGCCCACATCTGTTGTGCCAGCATCCAAATTACCAGCGGATCGTTCCGTGCCTCCTCGATCCCTGCTCTGGTTCTCCTGCTGACAGATGGACCTTCCTTACAGCTCTTTTTCTCATCACCCTGTGCTGCTTCAACACAGACCTGCAAAAATCCCCCCACACATAAATAAATGTGTGAATCCCACCAGGGTTGATTGTTGAGGATTTGGGAGACAAAGCACTTTTATAACGCTGAAGTCGGGAGTATTGGCCCCTGAGGAAATGAAGTTTTTATGACGTTAGCTGCAGCTTGGCACACATTTACTGTGCAAAAGCGCTGTAATCACTTATTAAGATTGTATTTAGCCTCATGTAGGGACAACAACTAAACATATTTTATCCAAGAGAAATAATAAAACAAGTGTTTACACATCAAACATTCAGCATTCTTGGCAAAGCTACATTACAGTGGCTAACTGTGGTTGTATTTGTGGAACAACAGACACTGATGCACTTTCCTTGTGATAATTACAGATTAGGATCCTTTTTGTTGCAGCTCATTGAAACGACGCTTCATTTTGATCCAGTCAAAGCAAACGTCTCACGTTTCATACCTTTAATATGTAACGTGGTGAATAAAAGAATGATTTGGTGCCAATTTTACAAAGAGATGCTAGTTTCACTGGTGCTGTCCAGCTTTCTATCAACTATTCAGCCTGTGTAAAGGGAACAAACTGATTAGTTTGGTCTATTTGTGGGCACCGCACTGATCACGGAACAGAAGAAAAAAAAAAAAGCCAAAGCTGTCTGAGGAGCTCAGAAACAAGATTATAGTTATCGCTGTTAAAGTAAAGGCTACATGTCCATCTATAAGTGGCTTCATGTCCATTTGACCACAGGTGCCCATATTATTAAAAAGTGTGGGACAGTAGCCAACATCCTAAGATGTGGACGCAAGAGGAAATGCAGCTCCAGGTTTATCAGACAAATAGTGGGGATGGTAGAAAAGAGCCAAAGAAACCATCTAAAACAGTTCAAGCTGAACTCCAAGGTCAAAATGAGTGATTTTGCACTATTAGTGATTAGCACATATCTTGGATCTTTAGCGTGCTGTTTGTCTTGGTATATATCTTAGATCCTTATATACTGCTTCTTTTTGCACTTTATATTTTTGCTATTGTTGGATGTAACTGGGACCCTGTGTACACAATTTCATTCAATCTCATGTACCACATGTGATGCGAATGACAAAGACCCTTGAACCTTGAAATAAATCACCTTCTGATGACCCCGTCTGTCACATGGTTGAGACACAGAAAGCTCCATGATTGGCAGAAAACCACAAAAAAAATAAATAAAAATAATCCAGACAGAAACGAACCAAAACGATTTTTGACAAGCCCCAAAGTTTGTGGAAGAATTTTCTTTGACTGTTGAGACAAAACTGGAACTTTTAGGCTCCAGTCACATCAGCTGTGTTTTTTATTTATTTATCATTATTTGGGAAGAGTTTCTACAAATTCACTCGCGACCGTACATTCATCAAATCCATTTTGAATTTGCCAAATTCAGAACTGAATTCAAAACCTACAAAGCCCTCAACAACTAAGCTCCGTCTTCTATTACAGATCTTATTGTTCCATATTTTCCTAACAGAGCACTTTGCTCTCAGACTGAAGGCTTACTCGTGGTTCCTATGGTTTCCCAAAGCAGAATGGGCGGAAGATCTTTCAGTTATCAGGCTCCTCTCTTGTGGAACCAACTTCCAGTTTCTGTCCCTGAGGCTGACACATTGTCCAGTTTTAAGACTGGGATTAAGACTTTCCTTTTTGATAAATCCTATAGTTAGGGTCATCTTGTTATGTTGCTATAGGCTTAGACGACAAATTGATCTCATTTCTCATAATGATTTTTTGCAATTGAATCGTTTTCATTTGATATTATTTCTTTCTTAATAAGTGATTCTTGACCTGCCATTGTGTATCTGTTCCTACCAAACCCAGCCGGTCGAAGCAGATGGCCGCTTGTCCTGATCCTGGTTCTGATAAAGGTTTCTTCCTTACGAGGGAGTTTTTCCTTTCCACTGTCGCCTTCATGCTTTCTCAAGATGGGAGTTCTGCAATAGAGTTAAACTCAAAGCAGTCTGCTCCTCAGATGTTATTAACTTACTATTACTTTATATATATATATATATATATATATATATATATATATGAATCTTTCAGTTCAGTGTCCTGAGATGACTTCTGTTGTGACTTGGCGCTGTATAAATAAACTGAATTGAATTGAAATGAATTCAACCGTAGGTTTACTTGTTTCTGTACTACTGGAGTACACACTTGAGCTGCTGATCACTGAAACGTGCAGCGCAAAGAAGACATTTTGTTCCTCCTAAGCCACAAACTGACCTAAAGTCTACAAAAAAAAACAAAAAAACTTAAGCCAGAAAACCTATAATGAGCTGGTTTGTGATATTTAATTGTTATCATTTTAGCTTTTCTAACATTTATCGGCTGCTGTTATTTCTCCTCAAATCTCTGCATGAGGACAGAAGACAAACAAGGTGCCGTGTAGGTGATCTGTGTTGGACACGGCTGCTCTCCTGTTCCTTGAGTCTTTGTTTTGCCGGATCCTTATGGCCCTGCTGGTTGCTCGGAGAGATAAAACAACATGAGCAGATGGCTCCTGGAGGTCTGGTGTCGCAGCAGGTGAAGCACGTGTAGCCGTTTAATGCCGGGGTCGCCTCCTGTTCCGCCTTGCTGCTTTTCATTTCCAGCCTCTGCTCGGCCGCAGATCTGGGTTCAGGCTCTGTTAAGTATATTCTTTTAACGAGTCTGTCACTGAAGCGCCGCATCGCTTTAGGGACTGACCAGTTGATCACAGACTGGAGAGAGGTCTCTGATCTCATCAGAGCTTAATCACCCCGCACTCCAGTAGTGCCTGGATTGCAATTTGTTGCCAGATTACCAATCATTTTATACTTACACACTCGGCTCTGATTCATGTCTCCCGGGTGGCCGTCTCGCTCCGAGTGCTGTGCTTAGAAAAGCGCGCTCATACATACAAATTGTGTTTTCTACTATTGTAAACTATTACTGCGCGATCTCAGCTTCCCACTCATGCTTCCTAAAAATACAGAATTGATTTTAGGATTTGATTATGTTTTAAATTGCACATTTATATTGCACAATTTCTCCCCCAGCGCCGTCTGAGCTCAGACGTTCGTAAACTCAACGAGGCTAAACTAAAGCCGACCAAAGTGGGTCATCTCTAAGAATACTCTATTTATGATCTTCTGTTTAATGTAAAGTTCATGTGCGCGCTTGAAACAATGATTTGAAAAAAAATGCTATTGACGTTGTGTTGACAAGTCAACAAAGATTAGTTTAGTGTTTTCACCTGAAATTAAAACTTTATTTATTACAACTCTATATTGGCT